CATTATTAATAAATTAATTATTATTGGATTTATATTATTAAAAACTGGTAGAGTGTAATTTTGGGTAGGTACATAGAAGTAATCAGTTATTTTAAGACTGAGTGCATCAYAATGAACAGACTTTCATCAGACAATCATTGTTAAAGTGAATTTTGATGTTATATAATTTTTTATACTTTTCACTAGTTGCTACCTAATTTTTGTTATAAGTTTAAACTGGCTTATATAAAAAAATGATTTAAAATGCATATTATATTACATGTTGTAACATCTATGTTATTTAAAAGTTAAAAATATTTTTGGAATCGTTTAATTAGGTATTAAATTTGGATGATCTTCTCTACAAACAATAATATTTAATTTTAATATTTAAAATCTGGTTTATAATATGACATTTAAAAATGATTAAGTGACAAACACACTAATATGGTATACTGTATACATAAGTAGGTATACAACATCGGTAATTGTAATCCTGTGCACATATGCGTAATGAATAATAAAACGTGTATCACTGTATTTTACTCACTTGGGTACTCTTAATGTGAATTCCTTAGTACTTATAGTTGGTGACATATAAGAAGTACTGCTTCCGCCAACTTTCTATAATTTTTCAAAAATTTTAACCCACAACAATAAGTTTGGATAAATATTAATTATGGAACTTACTTGTGAAAAACTCATCGTTGGCCGTCARATATAAAATTTTAAATTGTTCAAATCGTAAGTTGGATTGTCGTCAGAGATCTGAGAAGAGGTGAACACAAGCGTTAAGTCGTATCGAACAAGTAGTAAGTACACAACACTGAAAGTCTGAAACTGACGTTTCTCGAAATCGAAACTCGAACTGAACGCACGCTATTTGTTATCTAATGTCCTATGAATGCACAATAAATCTGGTGTCCGAGAATTATGTGATATYGGTGGCGGCAGTGGTACCAACACTGCCGCTGCCGCCAAATAGATGATGAATAATCCACGAACATTATTTTACGTCCGCGAGGCTCGAATCGATTGTGATTTTGATTTATGACAAGAGTTGCTTCGTAGTTCGTGTGCTACTTAAATACATCATCATCAACTATTCCATAATAACTAATTTTGTCATCAAACTTACTTGGTCACAATATAATGTATTAACTGTGATACCGTATAGATTGTAAATACGTTTTTTTATCTTTAATAAAGTTAATAAATAATAACAGCTGCTAATAATCATTACTTCATTATCAATGCTAATATTAATAATAATATTAACCATTTTTGTTATACACGTCAAAGGTTTATGGATAAATATTAAGAATAAATATACAATGATATATTTTTAAGCCGTGGGCCGTAGAATCATTATGCTGAGGTTTTTTAGACAGTGTTGAATGTTGATAATATCAAATAACCCATACTCGCCGATAACTCTAGAATCTAGAGCATTTCGTGGGCGACCACCCAAAATCCAAATCAAATTTAATATTATCATCTACAGCCCGTTTTCGATACACAGTGAGTCGGTGACGGCCGCGTGAATGCACATGACAAATTATTATCACTCATAATTTTATTTAACCATTAAAGACGATGTTCAGAKCCTGCTGCTGCAGCTTGCTCCTATCTAGTTTGTGTTCGATGTGCTGATAACGCGACCCGATATCGTCGCCGACGATGAGTTTTTCATCCGTAAGTTCCATACCATGATAAAAGAAGTGCTACTTTATCATGGTGATGATTTCGGAGCTCTTTCACGAACTGTTTATCATCAATCACGTTGTTCATATTTTCACCGGTGATGAACGACAATAATAATATCGCGATTATTCTTTCGTCGCCAATCGATCATCACGGTCAATATCGTAACGAAAGTCGCCCGGTGTCCGAGACAATGTCGTCAGTGCTACGGTCGTAGTTGATGGTCTACCCGGGACGTGACAAGTCGAGACGACTGCGCGATAATTGTTTGATAAATACAATCCGTCTGTGATCGAGAGATCGCCCGGCCGCGATGTGCCGCGCGTGTTCGTCGTTGACGTTCGCGTCTTGTCGCGTCCGGTGGTGATCGACAGTGTACTGTGTGTCCCGCAGCTGAACGGCCGAGATGTGACAGAAGTCCAAGAGGTATGAACGCGGCGGCCGACGGTTACGGTTCGTCGTGCATCATGTCAATGAGTTTGGAAGGCAGTGGCAAGGAGCAGCTCAAGACGCAGTTCGTCACCAGAGAAGGTGTCTACAAGCTGCTGACGTTGGCTACGTACTCCCGGCCAAACCGCATCGGCTACAACGTGCAGACCAACACCTCTGTGCGGGTATCGTTTGTCGGTTACTCGTCGTCAGATACCAACGGCAACAACGACCGCATGTGCTTCAACATCGGACGTGAGCTGTACGTTTTCTATTACAAAGGAACGAAAAAGGTGAGAAATTTCGGGTGTATAATCTAGCTTCAAGTTGAAACTTTCGATGTCTCATGACTAACAGYCCACTTTAACTATCGCCTTATTTTTTTTCAAACATTACCTATGTGCTCATTCAATTTCATCATTCACTTKGGTTGGCAAAAACTTAACTTTGRAATACATTTTAATTTTATACATACATACTTAAAAATCAGATTTGCAGTTCAAACAATCATATAGTTACAAGTGTAGCTTGAATTGTAGGTACTACAACATATCTCAAATAAATATTTATATTATTGGTAATTACAGGGAGCAGATTTGACTAAGCCCATAGATAAAAAATTATACAAAGGAATAAGTCCAACATGTCATGACTTCAATTCAACTGCCATAACTGAAGATTCATTACCATTAATTGTGGGATTTTCAACAGGATTGGTACAGCTAATTGATCCTGTTAGAAAAGATGTTAGCGTATTATTTAATGAAGAGGTAAGCCATATATTTTAGTAATTTATTTAAATATTAAACATTTTATCAAAATCTAAAAGTGATGATTTCTGCAATCTTTAAAAAAATATTTTTGCATATTTTTAATCACCTAATGAAAATTATTTGATAGATATGCTCAGTTTAAGCTGGATATTTTTT